GGGTTGCGGGGGCGCGGAGGGGCCGCGCTGCGCAAGCCGGAGCGCGGCCGGGGGAGCATCCGCTGCTATGCCCAGTCGGTGTTGGTGGGGCGATGAAACCCTTTTTTGGGGTTTGGAGCCAGTCCTGATGAAGCCGCAAGGTTTTGCGAGCGGCGGGGTTGGTGCTGCTCTAGCGTTAAAAATGTTTAATAGTGGATATTAATGAGGTGTTCCCCACCTCCCCCTCCCCCCCTTTTCCCTACCTTTTCGGATGTTTAAAAAAAAAACCACGAACTGTTCAGCTGCCGACATTTACATTTCTGTAGTAACGGCAATTCATTAGAAAAGTCATGCCAGCAGGAAAATGAAAAGTAGTAGTAATGGAGCCCCGGGGGTGGCTGCAGATAGCGCCGAGGGACCGTAGCCCCCCCGCTCCTCGGCAGTGGCCAGCGGTGTGGGGGAGCCGGGGGCGTTTGGGAGCCCGTGGGAATGCGGGGGGCTGGGAGCGCAGGGTGCAATGCAGAACTGGAAGCGCCGAAACTCTGCATTTTGTGCATAGTTCAGTGCTGGGTGGCCATTTTTCTAATCTTTTTCCTGTCAGGCTATTGGACCCCCCCAAAATGCTCATTTGGGACTTGAAAAAGCACCCCCTTAGGCTCCCCTACCCTTTTGTTAGGGCTATTTCCATGCCAAATACTTGTATTTTTTGTATTCCAAACGGGTGATCCTTTCTCCAGCTTTAAACCACGTTAAGATGTAGCTAACCATTTGCAGGGAGGATCTTTTTCTCCCCTTCTCTCTGGAGTTTACGTGTTTGTTCCTCTGTTACTTCCAGGGAAGGATTTAGTCCCTAGTACGATGGCAGAAATGGTGGCACACAAGTCAGTGTGCTGCCAGACATGCTTACCTTCTTTCAGAGTTTGGGATAGGCTCAGGCAGTATTAAAAGCTTGCTAAGAGGATACTGTTATACGGTTTCCTCCATTTTTGGGATCTTTTGGAAGCAATCTAAAAATACTGTACCATCATTCCTCACACTTGTAACTACAAGACTTTCAAAGAACTGTTCTTAGATATGCACCTTTTATTTCCCCCCTCCCCCTTTTTTAATTTTGCAAATTATCAGTCTTGATACTTAATAAGGAACTACTCCTGTATCCTTGCTCTTATAACTTGAAGGCATCATTATTGATTCTGAATTGAACAGTTTTTAGCATCAAATCCTCATTATTACACAGAGTTGGGTATTTTAACTTGCTGAAGAGATACCCCCTAATGTTCCTAGAAGCACCCAACCTTTGCTAAGTGCCATAAATGTGTGCAGTTTGTGCAAACTTGTCAAGAAAATGGCCTTTTCTTTGTTGTTTTTTTTTTTTTTTTAATTGGGAAACAGGTTACTACTATCTCAGTACTACTTCTGTCCTTCCTGCAGCAGCATTTATTTCAGCATATGAAGTTTCTTCAAGTCCCTTGCTCAAATATTGGTTGCACATTACTGCCCAGAACTAGCTTAGGAAGGCACTTTACTATCTCATGCAACCTTATCTGCCACAACTTCATAACAAACCCATTGGAACATGAAACGACCTTGGAAAGGTATCTTTCAATCTGACACGAAGCATTCTCTTAACGGGGAACAGCACTGCTCCACGAAGAGCTGATATTTTCAAATTGATGCTTCTAAACTGATTTTATTGTTGTTTTTTTCTTTAAAGAGGGAAGGGAGATGGGTGGAATATTGAATTGGAAAGGAAAATATTTTTTTAAAAACAAACCCACTCAGCTGAAGTTGAAGCACCACTCAGCTTTAGAAGGAGGTGTATTAAGAATGTACATATGATATTGACACTTAAGTCTAGGGTGAAAACAAGTCTTTAATTTTAATCAAAGGAAAACAGCATTTCCTCTGCCAGTTCTGATTTGCTCATTCATAAGATATTCAAAAGCCCAAATTATTAGTGGGACTAATTGAAAGCTAGTTGGGTGTGTCAAATGGAGAAAAGAAGTGATGAAGTCTGAAGGAAGCTTTACATTTAGTTGTATTGTTCTTGATATCATAATGTGATGCTTCTATATGGAAAATATATTTCAGGACCTTTTCAGTCCCCAAAATGCTGCTCCTCTGGAAAGGCTGCAAGAGCACTTGAGAATCAGCAGCAGTCAAGGGGGAGTCTTGCAGCTGTCGGGGGAATGAATGGAGGGGGTGCCTGGCCAGTAAGCTAACTGGGATTTTGGCCCAGATGCTGGACTTGACACATCAGGCCATGCACAGGGGTGGTGAGTTCCTTCATGCCCGTGGTGTTCTTCCCTCTCAGGAAGATGGTGCCTCCTGTAGAGCAGTGCTGAGTCCCAGCCTCGGGAGCTCAGGGTATGAGTGCCACCTGCTGGGTGATGAGCCACTTGATATCAATTATACATCATTTATACATATGCATATATGCATTTGTGTTTACGTACATATGCTATGTTTATGGACTTGTTTATTTGCATACACGTGTACAGCTTTTCCACAGACATGTCCTTGGGTGAAACTGTGAAACTTGCTAAGACCTGAAGTTCTTCACCTTCTGAGAGCTTAGCACAGCTTGTGTTTGGTGACACTCAAACAGAACTTGGGCTTTGTATTTCGAGGGTAAAGGGGAAAATTTGATGTTTAGTGCTGCCTTTGTTTTACTGAAGGCAAGTGGGAATTTCCAGCTGTATAGCTCATGGCTCATGGTGTGGTAAGCACCACAAGCACCTCAGCAGTCAGATAGCGGGCTGGTGAGGTAGACCTGAAATGGAGGCCCAACAAACCAAACTCAACTCTGTCATGTATCGCTTCAGATGAAAAAAAAAAAGATGAAATCAGCAGTGCTATGAAGATTTTACATTTCACTCACATATGTCCAAAAGATTTATGATAGAAAATGGATAGGAAATACCACTTCTCATTTAAATCAACTAAAGAAATACAGAACTTGCAGAATATATCTGGACCTCTTTAAAAAAAAAAAAAAAAATCCATTTTTTGTATTCACCTCTAACATTTGCATAGAAGAGTACAAAAATTTGATTCCGACCTAGAATTGCTACTGAAGGTGACACAATGAATCCAAATCTGACATCATTCCCAGTAATGACTTTCCGATTTCCACTAGCTTCCATCTCTCCTAGCCTGCTGGGACATTGACTGGAATGATGTTTAAACACCAGTTTGATTCAGCTGTATACAGAGTGATATCAGTTGCAGCACCAAGGCTTGTAGCTGTTCTGTGTTGCACTGGCAGTATTAGGGAAAGATGCACAGCCCTGGGTATTGGGGCTTTGTTGGACAGCTGACCTCATTAAGGCTTTATTGCTTACTTATTTTGTGGTGTGCTGGTGCCAGATGAGTCTTTTTTACCTTGTCTGTGGATTAGGAGCGGGTCCAAGCTGAACTATAAAAGTTTTCAGGAAACTTTCAAATCCTTTCAGCTGGAAAACCTATATTGATGTACTCTTGTGATAAATGGATAAAACGCTTCACATGGTTTTGAAAGCGTATTCCACCACTTGAGATCTGTACTTTTGAGAGTGCATAAAAGTCAGGAATGAGTTGATGGAGCAAAAAGCAAGTAGTGTAATTGCAGAGTTCATCATGAAGTGTGATTCTAGTAAAAAAAAAAGAAGGCACTTGCCATATCAAGAGGGATTACAAGATAGGCTTTTGAGGAAGGGGACCCAATAATAATGCATAACTCAAGTTCACTGTCCCCTAAAATGTTCACAGTTAATTTGATGCTTGACAAATTGTGATTTCAGTGTCTGGTGAAGAAGCAATTGACCCTAAAATTGCTGCCTGAAGCTGAACCAACGTTTTCAGTTTCATAACCAGTGTCATGCAAAAATAGTATGTGCAGAGGAACAGGGGAAATGCAGAATGTCCCTGTGGTCTTGCTCTTGTGTATCTCTCCTCCCACTGACCCAAGCAACCAGTGTAGGCAGTGGATGCTGCTGGAATGCTCAAGGCAATTTACATCTCATTCTTTCATCCATCCCCTTATGGCATATTTTGACTTCCTTTTCCCCCCACAAACCTTTTGAACTGATAATGGAAATCTGCTCCTTATAATATGTCCAACAATCAGCTCTTGTTTTTACTCAGAAGGGTATTTGCAGTATTGTCAACAGGCTGCTCTCCTGTCCCCTCCCCACTCTAAATAAACCAGTTCAGCAGCTCTGCTGCACGAATTCTGCCAGCTCTGAGTCATCCATACATTTTTGTTTTGTTCCTTCCTTGTGTTTTTGCACACATTTCCCGCCATTCCCACCTACTCAACATCTGCTTTCATGTGACCTCTCGTATCCTGAGAACTTCATTAATGTTAAGCTTGCTCCATGCCACCATCAAAATCTCACTTTCCTTAATAAGAAGTCCTGTGTCCAGTCAGGTGACTCAATGACCTTTACAGTTCTTGGGACTACCTTATGCCTGTCTCCAGTAAAAATGTTCTCCCAGTAATCTCAGCTTCCCCTGCAGAGGTAAAGGACAGGCAATATCCTGAGGGTAATCTGTCACTACAGTCACACTGGCAGTAATGGTGCATGGTTGCAGCTCTGGGGAAGGACTGGGGTACACAAGACTGACAAAAGAAATCAGAAATGAAGGCAAATCTTTTGCAATCTTTTTTCCCTTTCCTCTCCAATATTCTTCACATAGAGGCACTGGAAAGGCTCTTGCTGTAAAAGGACTCCTACAAAAACAGCAACAAAAAAATGTGGTTTGCTAGCAAAGTGGTAAATATGTGAGTAATCGTCTTCCTTTTTCTGCAGTCTTTCATGCTGTCTTATTAATGGGCCGTGAAGCCTGAGGAGGAGGTAACTCATCAGCCATTATCCATAGAGTAGGGGGGAGCTGCAAATTAGTAGCTTGTGCCTTTTTTTTGGGTTTTTGGTTTTTTGGGGTTTTTTTTGGTGTTTTTTTTTTTGACACCAACAGAGAAATTTGCGTTCCTATGGAATAGTTGCTCCAGAGATCAAACAGAAACCGCATCAGAGGCTGTGCTGGTGGCTCACTGTCCTCCTGAGTTACCTTGAGATTTATGGAGGTGAAAATGCTGCTCTGGCCTCAGGACCCTTTACTGGGAGCCAACAGAAGAACATCGAGTTGTGAGGATGACTGTTCCTGAGAACAATTGGTTTGGAGAACTTGGATAGTTGGAACATGTGAACTGAGAAGATACATCCCAATCTGTTGGAAGAGACTTTGTAATGGCCTTTGGCTTTTTGGCATCTTGTCAGCCTTGGCCTGGTGATCAATCTGATGGTCACAGAGCTGCTGGGAGAAGATGACAGCATTTCCTTCACTGCCTCCTTTCGTTCCACTGCAGGCTTCAGCACTCTCCTTGTCTGCTTGTCTATGCTCAGGACCTTGTGCACTTCCTGAACTTGCACATGCAATTGATTTCTCTTCTCAAAAGAAGAGCATGCCTTTGTCTGCCCTTACATACACACATGCAGTTTGTTTAGGTTAACCCACAGCAATTGGCATTTTGTACTGATCTCTTTGAAGCATTTCCTCTCCAAAGGAATAATAATGAAAAAAACCCCAACCAAACAGAAAAGCAAAAAAAAAAAAAAATAAAAAAACCCAAACGCTAAATTGGTCGACTGTTTTGGAACAGTTGCCAAAAGAAATCAATGCTGAGCCTGGGAAAGCTGTAAAATTCTTTCTTGGGTTTTTATTAGTAGGAGAGAAGTGACACACACTGAGTTTGGTCACTCAGACACTGTTCAAAGTCCAAACTGAAAAAAAGTTGTTTCAGCTTGGGTGTTCTTGATGGTTTGCAGATGTGTAACAGTGTGTAGATACTCAGCTGTGGGGGTAGGCTGCAGGCCCCCTTAATTGCAAAGAATAAATTACCAATCCCTCATCCTTGACTCAGGATTCTGAAACTGAGCAGTCACTGTGGTGGCTTTGCCTTACTTTCTTGCCAAATGTTACATCTCCTCATCAACAATTTTGAAATGTCAGCAGTATAAGAGAAAATAATATACCATTTTCTATTTGTGATAGCACACCTGTTACTGCCTGATAGGGGAAGTACAGCAGAAGGTTTGTTTTCTCTTAAAAATAATTTTCTCCCCCTTCCTTCTGAGGTTAGCCTTGACAGATCTTTATTAGACAATAATTACTACCCCTTTATTGACACTGATATTGTGGGGTCTTTTATTTCTTTTTAGAGTAAATTGGAGGGCGGGGAGGGATTGTTTTTGTTCAGTCCATTTAATGAGTTACCTGAAACAGTTTTGTAATGCATTCTTAATAGAAAGCAGTAGTGTTGTGTTGTTCATTGAATCTCAAGAGGTGTTTTTTCTTCTTTTTCCTTTCATTTTCCTGCTGATGGCTATGATGTGCCGAAACCATGGACTTTACAAACTGGATGAACGGCTGCCTCCTGGAACGTGGATAATTTTGGTGAGTCCGTAAAATGAGTTTCACTTACTTCTGCTAGCTTGGGAGAAAGAGGAAGAGTGCTATGTATTGGAAGTTGTTCTTGATGAAAGCTAAGACTGTTTTTGCAGTGTTAGTTTTGTTAATGCAACAGACAAAGCTTACTAAATTTCAAGTTATTTTTGATGAAGTTTGGGTTTTTTTCCTTATTCTGTTTCATCACTGGCAAAGGTGAAGGAATTAACATGCTCTGGATTAATTTGAAATAGTGTCATGTTATGAGATTGAGTGTTATTGCCTTTGTAATAACTTCTAAATTACTTTTCTGTAAGACATACTGTGAAGCAACAGCTTAGAACATTTTAATCTTTCTTTTCTGCCTTATTCAGTTGCTTCTGCAAATAGTTCAGACAGAAGATGATAAATTCATTGGATGGCTTTTTGGAAAAGCACTGTGTCGTTCTCCTTACTGTTCCTAATACTGGTGTTGCCTGTGGTGTGAACTTTTAAGAAATGATGTGTTGATGGTGTATTTGCATCAAATATTCTAGAAGAATTTTCCATGAAAAGGTCTTCCATCCCAAGCAGTCTCTGGTGAGATTTCCTTTTTTAAAAAAGAAAAAAAAAAGGCACAAAGCTCTGTCAGGGTCATACTCTTTCCTTGTGTGCAGACACCTGACCTACAGAATATTCTTACGGGAGTTTCTGCTGTTGCTCCCTGAGGAGGAGGTTTTTGCACTTTGGGTTTTCAATAAAGGTGACTGGACAGCTGCAGGGAAAACATTAGCTTTGACTATATTAACCTGGGGATCTGCTCCAGGAGCATGGCTGGAGGTGGTAGTGTTTACCCAGTGTTGTCTGTAGGAGTAAAAAAGCTGCCTCTGAGCACTGAGGGGAGGTGGTTGGCAGCTTAGCAGCCTTGGATTTATCTCTGAGCTATTTAGACCTAGCAGGAGTGACTCGTTACTACTAATAGGTTTAATTAGGGAAAACAACTTGCTTCACCTCTCACTTGTGTGGTGACAACCTCGCTTATGCACAGCCTTAAGTTTTGAGGGAGAGGACAAATGTGATTTAGGAGTGGGGTTGGCTGCCTGTCCTATCCCAGAATGAGGCGAGTGTTCCCGGTGTGGTGATGGCCCTGTCCTGGGTAAGGCGTGGGAGTGAGCGTAGGGCTGGCACTGGCTACTTGCTGACAGATTGTGGCTGAGTTTAGCTGCTATTCACCCCTTCAGGGGGGAGGGGGAAGGTTGACATTGGCTCTCTCTTCCTCTCCTTCTTTTTCAGTCTCTTGAGTGTGCACGGTCTGCGTCACCTGCATTCTTGAGCTGGTGCAAAGAGCCTGAGACTAAAAGATGGGCATCAAACTTAAGAATTTCTTATCAGGGATAGATTTCGAGAAAATTTGAGATAAAGCCTGATAGTTTACTTTCAAGCATTTCTGAAGTGTTGTTGCTTAATCCTTTTTATTGATCCATAGCTTATGCCGGAAAGCTGTTGTCTCAGGGCAATTTCCAGAGTCCTGGAGGATAATGGCATTAATCACATATCACGTGACCTTCCAGGCAAGATGAACATTTGTTGCGCTGCTGCATTTGCCTTCACTCTTAGTTCTGGTTATGTCTTTTACTCCTCAGCTGCATGGCTCAAGAATTCAGTTCAGAAGCCTTCTGCATGACTGGTACACGGTAATTTGGTGACTGAGTAGCAGCAAGGTCTGTAAGGCAACTGCTGCTTTGGATTGCTGTCCTTTGATGTGCTAAGGAGCCTGAGAGAGCAATAGCTTCTGGGCCCAGGAAGCAATGCATATTTACTGTGATGGACACACTGCTCAAAATTCCTGGAGTCTGAAAACTTGCAGACTGCATTCCTCATCGCTCTGCTCCAGCATGTATCTTGCTTTTTTGGCCTATTTTGTAATCTGCATGAATAATTGGCTCTCATGTTGCACCTATATAAAGAGATGCTTCTTCGATATCTGGAAATGCAGTAATGAGTGCTGAAGTGCTGCCATCACCATGGCACATCAGGGAAAGTTTGATGTGATCACATGGGTGAGCTTTCCACCCAAGTTTTATTCTTAGATTTGTTTTTCACTTTCACTCTGATTTGGTTATATTTGAATTTTTGGCAAATGCTGTTAGCAAAGTTAAAATCTGAAACAGCAATCTAAATCACAGAGCAAAGTGTGCTTTGCATAAACAGATAAATAGCAGAGCTTAAAGTATAAGGAGTGCTTTCTTTTCACTGAAAGAGTGACATCATTGCAAGCTGTTCTCACTGGTGGAAGGCCAAGAGAGAGTGGGTAACAGTTGAAATGAGAGAAGTTCACATTGGTTACAAGGGTAAAGTGTTTTCACTCTGAGGACAGACAGCTGGGTAGGGGCACAGGTTGCCTGGGAAGGCTGTGCTGTCTCCATCGCTGGGAGTTTTCAGGACCTGACTGAAAAAAGCCCTGAGCTGGATCTCACAGCTGACCCTACTTGGAGCAGAAGCCTGGACCAGAGACCTCACGAGGTTCCTCCTAGCCTGAACAAATTTATGATCCATTAAAAAACACTTGAATTTAGAGAGCTTTTCATGCTGGGAAAAAGAATAAAACTGGAAGGGTTAAGTGGCATGGCCATGGAGGGTGTGTGCAAGCTGGTGGTGGCTGCTGTAAGATGGAAAAGGGATGTAGCTTCTGGCCAGGCTTGTTCTGGAGTGCTGTCTGGGGCTGTCTGTGAAGGTTTGTTGCTTTTGGTTTTTAATCTAGCAATTAAAACCTGATACTTGCTGCTTCTGAAGGAGCTCTATGCTCTTTGTTTTATGCCAATGGTAGCTGTATAACTAATCTCTAAAATTTTGGAAATAATCAGTTGACTTTTGTTTATATTTTATATATTTTGTTTATATTGGTTAACACACCACTTACCTTGTGGGAAGAGATTTCAGAAGAAGTAAATTCTTCATATGGAAAACTTCCAGTCTTTCAAGGATTTTTTTTGTTTAGTCAGTTGTTTGTTGGTTTTCTTTTCAGAGATTGATATATGGCTATTTGCATTCCTTCAAAAATTGTGTGGGAGTACAAATGGGAGGTGGCTGAAAATCTGTGGGTTGATCAGACTGAAAATGAGCCAGCTCCCCAAAGTGATGTAGGTGCTTATGGGTAGTTATGTGAAGCCAAACAGTGCTTCTGTAGAGAGGGAGAAAAGTGGTCAAGGTACTGACACAACCATGGAGGATGAAATAGGTGAACCTGTAAAGAGGAGTGTGGATGTGTCAGAGATGACCACAGTGCCTTTGGAGGACCAAAGCACTGCTGATGGTTTACACAACCCTCCAAGTGTGTTTTCTTCCATGTTTCTTCTGTAGGAAGATGGCCTGCAACATTGGAGTTCATCTGGCAAACGCTTGAAAGCAAACAGAAAATAACTGTTTTTGGTGTTTTGCTTGGTTTTTCTTTCTCCTAGAATGGTATTAGTTTAACTAATAGATTGATTTTCCTCCTTTGTGTTTGGAAGCAACACTGGTCAATGTGGAAAGCAACAGTTAGTAACTCCAAATGGGATTTTAAAAGTTTCTGATTTTTTTTTCACTTTTTAAACCCCTATTCCATCTGCTGCCACCCACATACTTAGTGAGCTGTCATTCTTGCCAGTCATGCCCCAGCTGTGATGGGATGTGGTCAGTGGGTGAGCTCACAGCAAGGCCAGAGTTTCATCCCTTTCATGTTCTGAGTCTGAAAGCTGTCAGGATTATTGCTGTGAGAAACTGAAAGTTTTAGACTTTAGGCTTAACTTTACCTTGTCTGTAACCATTCTGCTCCATGTGTCTGCACAGTGTTTTCAGAGTTACACTTGTGTAATTGTAGTGGCTTTGTGTCCACTTTCCCTACAGCATCAGATACTACACTGCATAATTTGCCTTTTCTTTTAATTTCTTTTATACATATGCAAAGCCTTTGTATTTGTTCTTCTCTGTGTTTTTCCCATAGCTGGTTATTTTCAGCTGTTGCATGGATAATAGTGCTGATGAACAAGTATTTAGTCTGACACATAAAAGCATAGCCGTAAAGAAAATGAAGCAGGGAAAATTACAGTGGCAAAGGTTCCTGAATTATAGTTGTATAGGAAGATTGTGATAAGGAAGTAGCTAAACATTGCTATTTAGTCAAACCTACCACTGTGGCTGGTACTTCGATTGTCTCCTTCTTTTGCTGACATTTAATTTGTGTGGTTGGTGAGATATTCTTCCTGCTAATAAAGTCCGTGTTTTATTGAACCAGAAGCTTGTGGAAGTACATGGGTGTGTTCTCCCAGATGGTTTTAGGTCAAGTGTGAAACAATTGCTAATTATTTTCAGATTTACTTGTAAAGGAAATGTTAGGTGCTTGCTATTAGGTGCTTACCCACGGTTAGAAAAAATAAACAAAACCAAAACACGAATCAGTCTTCCCATCTGGGAGCGGATACGTGTCCAGTTTAGATACACTGGAAGGCAAACATAATGTAATAGGACTGAACCAGGATATTCACAGACTGAAGTGTCAATGTTTGAGGTGGCTGTGTGCTTGCTACAGCTGCAAAGCCCATTTTTTTTATGGCTGCAGTATGTTTGCTCACGAGCCCCAGCTCTGACAAACAGATGTGATCATCGTCCCGTACGTGCTCTTTGTGGGGTCGAGCAGTCACTTGTCAGTGTGATGGTGAGTACAAGCCATGATCTCCTAGCAGCAGGTCTCATGTTTGAAGAGCTTTGCTTGGTTTTAGAGCATCCCAGCAGCAATCTGCAAGACCCAAAGACCATCTTTCATCCACAAGGATGTGGGACCAAAGAAATGTTCTGTGTAGGCTTTTCACAGAAGTAAGGAGTGAGTAGTTTCAAGGTAAAAGAAAACTTTCACTGATCATCACAGATACTGAATTTTCCCTTCTGGAAATAGCCATTGGGATCTATGTTGGTGGCAGGTCATAACTTCCCTTTGTCTTGCCTCCCAGCCAGTTCATAAAATGCCCTAAGGCAAGCTGGGTTACTGTGGTTAATTTTGTTTGAACAGGATGGATCACTGTGAGCAAAAGGTAGTTTTCAGTGGTAAAGATAACTACCTTTGTGCTTATCTTAACTATGTGATGAAGCTATTACCATAGGTTTGTTAGGAAAAGAATGAGGTGAGGGCAGTGGCCTGGACTGAGCAAAGGTTAAAGCAATCAGTGATAGCTCGGCTGTCAGCAAAATTGCATTGCTGGGAATCAGGTCTCAGGCTTTGCACAACTTTATTGTCTGCTTGGCTTCCAGCTGTTCCTACAAGCATGTCCTTAAACAAGCTAAGGAAGGGCCAAGGGTTGTCTGCCTGCAATTTCTGCCTGCCCTTTGCATTGTGAGGGCCAAAATAATGCAGAACTGGCAGTTGTTTGTGGCGGAGCCTGAGATAAATGGATTTATCCAGTATCCATGAGGGTGCTCAGTTTGGATCTTGGCAACTTGGCTCTTTTTTTTTTTTCTTTTTCTTTCTCACCAGAATAGTTGTGCTGAGGTTTGGTGTTGTTGCGTCCTATTTTTAACACCAAAGCTCACTTATCTCTCGTTGAATGTGTGGTATGTTTCATTTGAGAGAGGCGGCATTTTATCAAATGTCACAAACAAGCCTTCTTGCTAGAGCTAATTCTAACCAACTGGAAAAGGATTCTTCCCATTTAATTTTCATTTACATGTGTAAAATTTTCATACAGTTGGAATCAGTACAGTTTATTGTCAAAATAAAGAGATGTCAGACCCAGCCACAGTTCTCTCAACCCAGCATTGTT